AGTACACGAAAGGCGACGGGAGTCGCCGAGAGCGTTCGAGGGTTGACGACAGACGCCGAGAGCGCACGAGAGTGGACGGCAAACCCCAAGGAAGCACGAGAGTCGACGACAGACGCCGAGAGAGTACGAGATTCGATGAGAGCTGCCGGGGGCGCAAGCGAGTTTGGCGAAATGCTCGTATTTGGCCTAGGCTATATATTTTCACTTTGAGTTTTTTTATTAACCTATTTTGACCTACTGTGATAGTTGTGGTTGGCTTTGAAGTGGGTTTACCTTCTATTGTATGACAGTTACCTTCAGAGCATAACCTCTATTTTTCTTTCAGCCTGTGTGAGAATTTTTTAAGAATTTTTACTTATAGTGCAGTGAGTTCAAAACTGCTCACGGAAAGATGACGTACGTGACAAGTTTTGAAGGGCGCCGTCACAAAGGCAACTTTATATGCCTCAAGGCCTGTTTGTTTGTGACTAATTGTTTTTCCCTTGTTTGTTACTCACAGATGTGCCTCAAGGAGCGGTGGCGAAGCACGGTTCATTGCCTGCTCAGTATCTGTTTAACTGGGCATTTGTTTGTTTGTCGCTGATTGAACACACTGAAAAGATGAGCGAAACTCGCCCTGGAAAAGTGGTGAGCCCGCAAGCCAAGAGTGAAGTGGTCACCGATATGGGAAAGGGACGGCCCTCGCCCCAGAATACATGGACTAGGTCGGAAGTGACCGAGTAGTTTTATACCAAATCGAGAAGCTAGGGACCATTTTCGTATTCTCGGTATTGGACTGGAACTAGCTTGCGGTGGAGGCTCATGTGGCACTAGCAAGCTAGGTTCCAGTCCAATGCCGAGATTATGATAATGATCTGTTGGTCTCGCTTTGATGCTAGTTAAAACTAATACCCGGATTGGAGATACACAAAAGACCGTTTTGCATTATTGTCCATTCAACCGGGGCATTGTAAATTGGTGCTCCACCCCACTCCTGCATGGAGGGATATTGTAGATATCCCTAGTTGCTAACATTGCGCCTTGGGAAAATCAAATTGTCTCCGATAGTAGCTTCTGTTGCATTACTCTTGCCTTTTACGATATGCCGAGTATAAACCACCAGAGTGCTTTACATAAAGTAGGACATCCTTAATCTTACAGGCAACAGAAAGATGCAAAGAAAAAAAAAACATTAAAAAACCTATTCAAAACTGGTAAAAACACCAAACACCTCGACGCTCGTTAAAATACTCCGCTACGCGTCGTAACTCTTTTCTCGGTGTTTGGAAATGTGGTCAAACACGGTTTTTCTTGTGCGATATATTACATAGACTCTATACACAAAGTTTCATTTGTATTGCCAAAAGTCATTAGAACAAGGATTTTTTTCCTATTTATTATAAAGAATTTTATATCACCGTTTTTGTACATTATGTATATATCTGTTTTCTCACTTAGTTTTTAAAACGAGTGAACTTTAAGAGTTGAATCAGCATTGAAAGTTTGAAGTCTATTTTTCTAG